ATAAATTAGATATGGATAAACTAGTGTATAATAAATTAATTTCAAAGCATTCAAATTGGTGAAATGACGTATTCTAGAAATGATACTTGAAGCTTTAATATTTTTTTTTGAAATTAAGTTAATATGATCCTTCCATGTTAAGCACTCATCAAGAACCACACCTAAGAACGTTGTATTCTTAACTTGGTTAATTAATTTATTGTTTATAGAAATTGATATATTGTGTTTTTGCTTTTTCCTGCATGATCTAAATAACATAAATTTTGTTTTCGAGTTGTTTATAGATAATATATTCGTATTGAGCCAATTCGTTATCTTATTAATCTCTTCTTGTATAATTTCATTGAGTTTTTTTAGACAAGTATGACTATAAAATATATTAGTGTCGTCTGCAAAGAGTATAATTGAAATTATTTTACTGCAATTCTGTATATCATTTATATACAGCAGGAACAACAAAGGCCCGAGTATTGACCCTTGAGGGACACCACTCGAAATCATCATTTCATCAGATTTTATTGTATTGTATTTTATTGCTTGTTTTCCGGCCCTCCAAATAATTTTTAAACCATTTTAAACAAATACCTCTTATGCCGTAGTGTTCTAGCTTTTTAATCAAAATTTTGTGATTATAATTGTGTCAAAAGCTTTTGATAAATCAAGGAAAATACCAATAGTGTACTTTCCCTGATCTATTCCTTTTGTAATTTTATCAACAAGCTCAATAATTGCTAGTTCTGTTGATCTATTTTTTCGGAATCCATATTGGTGTTTAGAAAGGATTTGGTTTTTATCAATAAAATCAATTAGCCGGTTGTACATTAGTTTCTCAAGTAACTTAGAAAAACAAGAGAGAACTGATATAGGTCTGTAGTTTTCATATTTATTATTTTCCCCTGCTTTAAAAATTGGTGTAACTATTGCTAGCTTCAAATTTTCTGGAATAACTCCATTCTGGAATGTTAAATTAAATATGTGAGTTAATGGTTTAGAAATTTCTTTTGCAGTTAATTTTAATACTTTATTGCTAATGTTATCGTATCCTGGACTTTTACTCGAGTCGATACTTTTAATTTCATTTTCCAGTTCATTTTCAGTAATTGGCGCTAGAAACATACTATTCGGGTAGTTGCCAGTAAGATATTTTTCGAAGTTTGTATCTGAGTTATTTTTTATATTTTTGGCTAAGTTAGGTCCAATATTAATAAAATATTCGTTGAATTTATTGGCTATAGTTTTTGGATCATTAATTGTGTCATTCGAATTAGTATTCAAAAAGGTTTTGGGTAGCTCATTACTCTTTGCTTTCTTGTTAAGAAGTTCGTTTAGAGTTCTCCAAGTCATTTTTGAGTCGTGTTTATACTTTATTAATTGTTCCTCAAAATAATTCTTTTTTGAGATTTTTATGATATGATTTAATTTGTTTTTATACCTTTTATATATGTTTTCATTTTTTTGCACGAATTTGTCAAATAATTCTTATAAAGTTTGTTTTTTCTTTTTACAGACTTTAATACGCTATTAGTCATCCAAGGACTTTTAATCTTATTTATTTTTAATTTACTCGATCTTTTTTTGAAGGGAAAATTTCTCTCATAAATCTCTGTAAATGATTTAGAAAATTCATGAAATGCATTTTCGGGATTTAAATTATTAAGTACGCTGTTCCATGGTAAGTTTCTTATTTCATTAGTAAATGAGGTAATGTTTTCATTGTTAACAATTCTTATATAATTCGATTTATTTATTGTTTGTTTGTTATAATCGTTAATACTATCCAAATTACATATATGAGCAATCGGTAAATGGTCTGATATATCACTAAAGATTATGCCATTAATGCTTTTATCAATATTATTTATATTGTTAGTAAAGATGTTGTCAATTAATGTCGCAGTATGTGAAGTTATTCTTGTCGGTTTTGTTATAAGAGGAATAAATGAAGAAGTAAAAAACTGTTCAGTGAACAGACTCGCGTATTCACAAGACTCTGACTTGAGTAAATCAATGTTAAAATCTCCAATGAGATAACATATTTTGTTTTCCTTTTCAACTTTTTCTAGTATTTTGTTAATTGCATTTTGAAATGTTTCCATTTTCGCATTAGGTGGTCTATAAATTACTCCTATAACGATATTTTTTCCTGTATGCATACTTATTTCAGTAAAAATAGTCTCAATTGTATCTTCTATTTCTGTTTTAAGGTCCTTTCGAATTTTATGCCGCAATTGTTTTGCAACATATAGTCCAACGCCTCCACCTTTTTTGTTAGTTCTGCTTGAACCAATGTAGTCATAATTTAGTAGTTCAAAATTATCATCATTGCACTCTTTGAGCCACGTTTCAGTTAATCCTATTATTTTAAATTTTATATCTAAAGAATCCAGTAGCTCTTTAAAGGAATCAAATTTATTTGCGATGCTTCTAATATTTAGATGTATAAGTGAGAAATGGTTTTTGTTATATGTTTCGGCAGTTTTTTCTCTAAATTCATCTGGTAAATAATAATTGCAATTTATTTCACGACTTATCTAGACTCGCATTGTTTTTGCATAATGCTATTTTGTGGTTACATGTAAAAGGATTAAATTTCATTTGACTCAATCTATCCATATCATTTTGCGTCAACCTATTTCCGAATTCTTGATTAATTTTGGCAAACTCGCGGTCATCTAAAGTTTCAAAAGGCATGGGACCAATATCAATTTTGCTTAAAGTAGACATTATAGAAGTTTAGTTAGAGTTAGTAAATAGATATATGGTTAATTATTGAGAAATGATGTTTAAACATTGTTAATAGGATATACCATGTTTTCATAATGAGATTTGACTGGAACGTACATTCTCATGTCAGTTTAAATTCTTGACCCTCTATAAATAGCTTGTCTCTGACCATTTTCGCTCGTTTCCCGTCTGCTTTTGCCTTTTTGAACTCGGGATATAATCTTCTTCTAATTTGATTGATTTCCTCTGGATATTGTTCGCATAGTCCAATTCTAGTACCTTTGAGTTTCTTTGCGTTTTGTCGGATGTCTTCTTTGTCGCGGAAGTAATGGAATTTCACCACGATAGGTCGTGCTTTCCCATCTCGTTCCCTTCGCCTTCCTAATCTGTGCGACCGATCGATTTTAATTTTTCTAATTTTTTTGTTGAAGGCCTACTTGACTAAATATATGTTGTTTGTGAACCATGCATAGACAGCACAACACGTTTT